AAAATTATTTAAAGAAAAAGATGTTAGGCTGGGCGCAGTGGCTCAAACCTGTAATCCCAGCACTTTGGGAGGCTGAGACAGGTGGATCACAAGGTCAAGAGATCAAGACCATCCTGGTCAACATGGTGAAACCCCATCTCTACTAAAAATACAAAAAATTAGCTGGGCATGGTGGCACGTGTCTGTAGTCCCAGCTACTCAGGAGGCCGAGGCAGGAGAATTGCCTTAACCCAGGAGGTGGAGGTTGCAGTGAGCCAAAATCACACCATTGCACTCCAGCATGGGTAACAAGAGTGAAACTCCGTCTCAAAAATAAATAAATAAGTAAATAAAGATGTTGGCATGGATACAGTGGAAAGGGAACACTTCTACACTGCTGGTGGAAATGTAAACTAGTGTGAAGATTCCTTCAGGAATTAAAACTATCCAGCAATCCCACTACTGAGTATCTACCCAGAGGAAAAGAAGTCATTATACAAAAAAGATACTTGCACACACGTTTATAGCAGCACAATTCACAATTGCAAAAATGTGAAACAGCTGAAATGCCCGTCAATGAATGTATTAAAGAAATGGCATTTGCAGCAACCTGGACAGGATTGGAGACCATGATTATTACTAAGTGAAGTAACAGGAATGAAAAACCACAAATTGTATGTTCTCAATTATAAGTGGGAGCTAAGTTATGAGGGTGTTAAGGCATAAGAATGATACATTTATTGTATCATTCTTATGGAGACTCAAGGAGAAAGGATAGGAAGAAGGTGATGGATAGAAGACTACAAATTGGGTTCAGTGTATACTTCTCGGGTGGTGGGTGCACTAAAATGTCACAAATCATCCCCAAAAAACTTATGTAACCAAATACCACATGTTCCCCAAAAACCTATGGAAATAAAAAATTAAAGAGTTAATAAATAAAATTATACACACACACACACACACACACACACACACACACAAGCCTTAGGTTACTACTTAACACCCACTATGATGGTTATAATTTTAAAAACGAAAAAACAAGCGTTAGTGAGAATGCAGAAAATTTTTAGAACTTGATTACATTGGCGATGGAAATGTAAAATGGCACCATTTCTGTGAAAAATAGTTTTGTGGTTCTTCAATAAGTTAAACATAAAAGTAAAATATGACCTAACAGTTCCACCTCTGGGCTTGGATACAGGTGTTCAAAGAAAAACTTGTACATAAATGTTAAAAGGAGCACGATTTACAATAGCCAAAGGCTAGAAATAACCCAGTTGTTCATCAACTGCTGAAAAGATAAAATGTGATATCTTCACAAAATGGAATATTATTCAGCTACAAGAAGCAGGAATATGGATACATGCTACAGCATAAATGAACCTTGAAAACATTATGTGTTTAATTTTAAGTGGGAAAAAGCCAGACACAAAAAGCCATTTTGTATGATTTCATTTACATGAAATGTCTAGGATATGAAATCATGGAGACAGAAGAATAGATTAGGGATTGTCAGTGGTTGGAGAGTGGCTGGTTAGTTGGAACAGAATGAACTTTGGATACACAAGGGAAGGGTGGGAGGAGTGATGGATAGAAGGCGACGTATTGAGTACAGTGTACAGTGCTTAGGTGGTGGGTGCACCAAAGTCTCAAAAATCACCACCAAAGAATATATGCATGTAATCAAAAACCACTTGTATCTCAAAAATTATTGAAATATATATATGTATAAATATTAGTTGATTGCAGCACTAATCATAATAGCAAAGACATGGAATCAACCTAAATTGTCATCAATGACAGACTGAATACAAAAAAATGTGGTACATATACACCATGGAATACTATGCAGCCATAAAAAAGAACAAGGTCATGTCTTTTGAGGGAACATAGATGGAGCTAGAAGCCATTATCCTTAGCAAACTAATGCAGAATCAGAAAAAAATACTGCATGTTCTCACTTATAAGTGGGAGCTAAACGATACGAACTCATACACAGGAAGAAGGAAACAACACACACTTGAAAGTGGAGGTAGGAGGAGGGAGAAGAGCAGAAAAATAACTATTGGGTATTTTGCTTAGCACCTGGGTGATAAAGTAATCTGTACAACTAACATCTGTGACAAGGGGTTTACCTATATAACAAACCTGCACATGTACACTTGAACTAAAAATAAAAATTTTTTAAATACCAAAAACAAATAAATTGGGGGAAATTTTAAAATTTTCTCTCTTATTCCATCTTCTTGGCCTCTCATTTGCAAACAGAGGTCCACATACACCAATGTTTAGGACCATCACGAGTGGGCATCCCAGAGGAATAGCAATGCTGAGGGAGTTAGGCATTAAGGACATCACAGAGTATATTTATCTTTGGGGGGCTTCAGCAAAAACTGGAAAGACCAAAAGACCTTTGAGATGGGGAGACTTTCGCGTACAGAAATGAGTTTCTGCTTTCTGAGCAATGCCCCATTTGCTGGGAGAAGATCACGAATTTGGATTGAGGAGGATGAAGAAAGATGTTGAGTAGGTTTCCAGAGGCAATTCAAAAATTGTTAGTTGAATATTGACGCTGGGCTCTATGTCATCTCTGTATCTGGAATGTCATTTCTGGCCACCATGAGCGCAGAGTAGTAGCTGAATAAAGATGAATGTAATGAATGGGCCATAGGAAGAGCACTGACACGGTGAATATCATTCAAGAAAGGGCAGTCCCTGTGTTTGCCTAGCAGGGCTGGAATTTAGGACTCTGTCAGTTATTCAAATAAAATGGGTGTCAGGCACATGGGAAGTCGATATGAACTCCAAGTCATTTTCTGCTCAGGAAGCCAGGGGTTCCAGGATAGTTTTTATCCACTCAGAGCACAAATTATGTGATTCCCCCAAAAATGAATTCCATGCTGGTGATAGGATGTATGATTCATTATCAAAAAGAGAAATGACCAAGACTGTGACACGGAAGGTGTAAGGAGGAGAGTGTACCCAATCAGAACACCAGAGCTTCCAGTGAGAGGGGAGGGAATTACATTCCATACTGGAAAGAAACAAGGAAAGGAGCATGAAGAGTGTCATTCACTGTGTGTTGGTACCTCAAGGTATCTGGATGCTATGTTAAAGAAGGCTAAGGGGAGAGGCATACCCAGGAGTGAGGCTGGAGTTGCAGAACTGTTGCAATAAACATGAGGAGAGAAATTAATGATTGAAATGACACCTGAGATGGTCCTTGCACACAAAGAGCCTATTTGGTAGAACACTCTTTAATCTACCTTCATTGATTTTTAGGAAATATGTTGTTTTTCTTCTCCTAAGTGGTTCTCCTTACATGCTATGAAGCAGATAATCACAGCTCTTCTTGTGGGAAAAGAGCTGTCATTCTGCTATCTTGGTAGGAACTCCAAGAAGCTGAGAATGGAGGGTGAGGACAAGTGCTACAGAGAAACATTCCCAAAGAAAATGAAAATGGGTGTCTGGTTGGTTTCAGCAAAAATATGGAGTAGTGATTGCTGTCTATTTTATATTGTCCCTCTAAAATAGGTGTGTGATAATGTGTTTCTTTGGTCACCTCACAGACACCACATCCTGATTAGATAAGAGAGTGCACTTCGCTCTGGGCCTGTTCCTGTAATTGAATTGCCTTCAGAGATTCCTTACAAGGTTAGTGTTTTTCGTATGTGGGAAGGATATAAGCCAGTTGCATCTGAGTGGAACTAGTTGCCAGGAACGGTCCCTCATGACTACAGTCACAATAACCACAGTTTGTGGAGTCCTCTTCTTTTGATTAGGGCTGTCTGTGTGACTCACCTTGATCAATGTACTACCATAGAAGTGACACCGTCTGCCACTCAAAGGTAGGTCCTAGGACGCCATGCACCTTCTCCATGAGCCTTTTGGAAGGCTTTCTTTGGTAAAAGCCAATCACCATTCATTAAGTCCAAGAACTGTGAGGCTCTCATTATTTGAGGAAATTAAAGCGATGAATGGGAAGGTGAGGTAGTGAAGGAGATAACCATCTTGTTTTCAGCTGTTCACTCAGCCCTGATGTTGAGTTGGACATGAGTAAAGCATTCTCTGAAATCCCAGCCTAAAACATCTCTCAGAAAGCTTGACTCCTATCACATGATCTAACACACGAGTTTAGTAACCTGTAAAGTTGGGAGAGATCAAAACAGGTCATTGTTTTTAGCCAATATGTGTTAGGAGGTTTGCCATGCTGCAGTTCATCACTGGAATAGCAGCAAAGCATGGTCTGCTCACTATGTCCATATACATGAATTGTGTCAATTCCAGTAATAATCTACATGCTCTCTGCTCCAAAACCATGATCATTTATTTCCAAAGAGAAGCCCCTGGGTTCTCCCCATATAAAATGAAAAAAAATCTTCAAATATTTGCAAATAAGAATAATTTGGATTCTTTAAGGGAGTCTCTTAACTGTTACTTGGATTGAAAACTTCACATGCAAAACTTGTCATCTTTTTCTTCATTTCCTTCACAGCAGGCCTCACAAAGCCAGGCACACTGTTCATACACAATAAGCATCCCGAGAACAATGGGAAAAATTCAGAAATTCCACATAATTTTTCTCAAGTTATAGGTTCTCCCCAAAGCCATCAGGTACACTTGCATGGCTGTAAAAAGCTACCTAACTTTCAGTGCTGTGAGTCCTCTGAGATTGGGTAAGTATTTTGGTTTAGACTGTCTGATGTCAACTACGGGCTATAGAAGGATGCTGTTCCTAATGTCTTCTCAGACATTCCAGGGACCTTGTCACTTGTCACTTCTTCACAGGAAGGTTTATCCCCTTTGATTTCCTGATGCCTCCCATAGAATGTGCTGGCCCCTTTTGGGAATGACTACTTCCTCTTCTTATTAAAGCAAGAACCAAATTATGTGAGGTTTCGTGCTGTTTTAATGACCAAGCATAGGGGAAGGGGTGAAGAGAGATTGTTAACAGGCTCTAGGAATACCATGGTCAGATAGAAAAACGGAGTCCTCAAAAATAAAAAGTGTGATCATCTCCCTCAATTGTAGACATACACTGAGGTCAGGGAGACATCTCTCCACACTTGAATCATCTTCACATATGATGGCGGGTATCGATGGGCAAAGCCATAAATGTATTGGCCATTTACCTTTACCTACAAGAGGAAAAATGCATCAGACAGTATGCCACCAAACAAGTTTTCAGCTTCTTCACTCTGCCTTAGGACCAATAATATTTCCTAAGAAAACTCCTAGTTGTATAAGTGAACGTGGTAGACACACTTCTGTTTACATGACGTTTTGTGCCTATTTGAGACAGTTGGTGACTTTATTTCTAATGCTTTCTTTCATTTCTCTAGTGAAGTTCTACACTGTGTCACACAGTCCGTGTTAACTCAGCCTCCCTTCTAGCCTGGATGATCCCCATCACCAGAGCCTGTGTCTCAGGAACTTGAAAGCCTGCATCTTACACAGAGGCTGCCACAGGGTTAGTGCTAGACCGTGTCCATTGAATGCATACTTTTCACTTCCATGAGCTGTGACTGCCTTTTACTACTGATGGCACAGTTCCTCTTTGGTGTAGCCATCATCTGAGGTGGCAGTGGCAAAGAATGAAAGCCAGTGTTGTTAGAGAGTCAAAGAAGCATAGGTGTTGTAAAACATGGGATATTATCTTCAACCACTTCTAAGCACAGGAAAAGATCCCTCACTTGAATGTGAATAAAATGTGAATCTTTTGGCCTACTCATCAGAGAAAGCCAGAAAGTAAGGATATATTCCTTATACTGAAGCTATAGAGAAAGTCACCTTATTAGTATTAATTTTTCAAATTTAAAATGCACACATTTTTCAACAGTTTTTTCATTTTTTGTAATTATCTTACAATATAAGTATTGGGAGGTTGGTAATGACAAAAGAATTGATTAGAAAACTTAATACAGCATCATTTGTGAGAGCAAAATGCTGGAAACACCTTTAATGCCCAAATTGGGTAAAGTTCAATAATTGTGGGTAAACTTTTTCATGCAATATTATTCAATCTTTAAAAACTAAAGCAGCACCATGGGTTGATAATGTCTTCAAGATATATTAATGTGTAGAGTAACTTATACCAGGATTTACTTAAAAACAAATGAAATCATAGACATATCTATATGCTTCCATAGGCAAAGATTGCCTCTGAAGGAGTGGGCACAGCGGCTTATGCCTGTTATCCTAGTATATTGGGAGGCCGAGGTGGGTGGATCACTTGAGATCAGGAGTTCAAGACCAGCCTGGCCAACATGATGAAATCCCGTCTCTACTAAAAATACAAAAATTAGCCTGGTGTGGTGTTACGTACCTGTAATCCCAGCTACTTGGGAGGATAAGGCAAAATGATCGCTTGAATCCAGGAGGTGGAGGTTGCAGTGAGCTGAGATCACAGCACTGCACTCTCACCTGGTTGACAAAGTGAGACTATCTCAAAAAAAAATTTCTCTGAAGGCAAGCAAAGCTCTAGTAATGTTCTTATGAGTAGAATTGGGACCCAAAAGTGATATGAAGACTTAATTTTTGACTGATCAAAACAACTTTTTTCTTAAGTATATCGTATTTATTCAGCTTAAAGAAAATTTAATTAATGGCATACGTAGAAAGGAGCACTATGGGAAAAGACAGAGGAGATTCTCTACTTTGTGGGAAATGGAAGGTGAGCTGACCATGACCTTGGTCAGATTTGGGAAAGAGTTGAGGATGGCAGTACAAGCAGAGTGTGCTCTGTGACGAGGACCTGGAGCAGTAGTAATGAAAGATGGGCCCTGAGGGGCTGGTGAGGCCAGGTCAATGAGAGCTGCCCCCTTCTCTGGGGGCCCACAGAGCCTGGGTGCTGGGAGCTCCTGGGGTGCTCACCTCGTACTGATTGTGAAACACGTATATGCGCAGGTCAAATGGTTCGCCATCCTCAAAGGGCACATAGTGTAATTTCTCTTCCAACTTCCATACCCCGAACTCACGACTGTTCATGACGACACGATGGCCAAAGTGCACTCGGAAATGGAAGGCGATATCTGAGTCCTCATCTGTCCCAGTGTAGAAATCCACCTGCAGCTGTGGGTCATTGCTGAGGGCAAAGCACACAGCAGGTTGGGCAGGTCCCTCCCTTGCGCAAACACACACTCAACACACAACAAATCCCTTCCTCCCTTTACCCAGGGCAAAAGTCTCCCTGATGATGCTGCAGGCCTGGTCCCTGTGGGGATGCTTCAGCTCCTCATACCCCCAACAGGGAGATGCTGTGCTCCTCATCCCCAGGGCCTGACTTGTTCATTCCCTGAAAATTCAGTGTCCCTTGATTAAGAGCCACAGCCCCAACCCACTGAGTATTCTCCACCCCTATGCCCCTGGCTGGCCCACATGCAGTTGCTGCAGGTCTGATGCTGGGTGCTGGAGGGTCTCCAGGACCTGCACCTGCATGAAGCCTCCATCCTGCCAGCTAGACATTTCCACATTACTCACACATAACATCAAGCCCTTAGCAAATATTCTCCCTTCTCCACCCCCTCCATTGGACCATGGAGTACTCACAGAAAAGAGAGGTTCGGTCTCCCTTTGATAATCACACAGGCACCAATAGACAAGGACACAGGACGTTTGTATGGCACCTGCCAGGGTATTGAGGCTGAGTGAGAGGTGCACAGTCAGGTGCAGCCTCCCCTCCAGTAACATGCCCACGATACAGGAGGTTAGAGATCAAAGGGCAGACTCTGAGGCCTCCCCCTTTCACCCTTCCATAGTCAGGGCCTCATATTCCTGAAGATATGGTGGACCCAGAGGTAAGAACAAGAGCTCAGGAGCCAGGATGCCTGGATTCCAGTTCTCATTTTGCCTTATGCTAGCAGTGCCATCTTAGATCCTCTACTTGAACTCTCCATACCTCAGTTTCCCCAGCACAAGGAGGATTATTGGGAATTTCTACTTTGTAGGGTGTTTTCAGTAATAGAGCAGTTAATATATGTAAAACTCTCACCCCAATCCCTGTCATGTGTAGGGCCTGTTGGGGGTGGCCTAGCAGAACAGGGGAGTCCTCCTGAAACACTGACCTGCCTTCATTTTCAACTCGGAAAATGAAAACAAGACTTGAGGATGTAAGAATTAAAAAATTCACTCCAGTAAATAACAATGCTTGTTAAAAGAGAAAGGGAAATGATGAAAGAACAGGAACCCCTGTGTGAGGGATGCACGTGCCTCACAATCATCACGGGCCATGGACACATCGCTGAGAGCACAGCCCCAGGACTTGCACACATGAAGCCTGTGGTCAGGGACATAACTGGAGGGAATGATTGATTTCTACAACTAAAAGTGGTTGATGATTTTTCTGTATTTTTGAGATAGGGCCTTGCTCTGTCGCCCAGGCTGACATGCAGTGGTGCAATCATAGCTCACTGAAACCACAAACTCCTGGGTGGCAGTGATCCTCACACATCTGCCCCCTCTTGAGTAGCTAGGGCAAAAGGTGCCTATCACTCTGCCAGTTGATATTTAAAGGTTTTTTTAAAGAAAGGGCCTCACTGTGATGCCCAGAGCAGTCTCAAACTTCTGGCCTCAAGTTATTCTTTCATCTTTGCCTCCCAAATTGATAACTCACTATCCTCAAGATCCCCACCAGTTAAGCCACCTGGGACAACTCGATAGCCATGAGCCAGTGAATGCAGCTACTTGGTTGATTAATATCCTCTGTAAGCTCTGCCTGAACTGAGAGTAAACTTGTTCTTTCATGGGTGGAGGAACAAGTTTAGTCTCAGTTCAGACAGAGCTTACAGTGGATATTTTGCATTATTCAGTCTCAAACCATGGTCTCTAATGTCCTTCCCTTGCAAAGCAGTATCTGCACACCCTCCTGTCCCAAGATGAGAAGAATAGGCTGGTTTGGGAACAGGGAAGCTGAGCCTTGGAGGCAAGAGCCAGTGATAACTCTGTGCAGTCCCCACCTGAGAAACCATCACCCCCTAGTCTGCATTCCTCTTCTCACTCTTACTGGGAAGAGACATCCACTGATCATACATTCCACTCTCATAAGTGATCTGTAATGAGTCCTCGGTAACTCACAATCCCCAAGATCCCCACCAGTTAAGCCACCTGGAATCCACATTGACACACATGAAAGGACACACAGCTGCTTCATCAAAGGTGCTGCTGTGTGGGGAAGAACCTTCACATGCACAGAAGGCCACGTGCATTTTCCCACTTCAACACACAGTAACATCCCAGCACCCACACCCACAGACACAGAGCCACGCTACTCACTGAGTCACACACACTTGCTCGCTGTGCACATAAAGATGCTCATGCACTGGTCTGGCTGTGCTCACACACACTCACTTCACAGTCATGAAGTCACCCCCTTACACCCACACACACACCTGTTCAACCTGGTGGGCCACCCACCTCTCACCTAAAGTCACATCATCTCAGCAGATTCCACTCTCATCAGACATTATCTTTTTTTATTCTTTTTTTTCCAGGCTAATATTTTGTACTTTTAGTAGATCATCAGACATTATCACATGCTCCCAGAGGGTTACACTGGTCCAGGGTCCACACCCCACACCCCACAAGCATCTCAGATACCATAGCCTCAGGGTTTCTCTTCCACGCACCCACAACTGTCAGTAAAGCATTCACAGAAGGAATGCTCATATTTTCATCTCATAAAATCTCCCAGTTTTTGTTGTTCTTGTTTGTGTGACTTGAGATTATTGAAGGCTGTGCCTTTTCAACTCACGGGTAGAGATGACATTGGTCTCTCCATCTGGGCGTCTCTTCAGAATTGTGTCCAGTCTTCTGAGTGATTATCTGAGTTGCAACATTTAAATGATCCATTATAGCCTTGCCCTCTGGCTTCGTTCCAGATTCCACGCTCCTCCCAGCAAACTTTCCTTGCAGCCTGAGAAAGGCTAAGGTGACAGGAAGAAACTCAGTCACAGCCATAGCTATTTGCAAGACCGTGTCTGTAATGCAGCAGAAATTACCATGGGGGAGGTACCAGGCTGTAGATTGGGTTACCAGAGAAATGCACAGATAAGAATGATGGGGTGAGGGGAAGTGATAGAAAAGCCCAGCCTTTATGCCTCTCAAGCCTTTTCTCCACTATGCAGAATCTACCCGAAAAGTGTACATTTTCCCAATTTTGTACAATGGCTAAAAAAAAATTTTTTGCGATTTGAGGGAAACACATTAACTCTAGAAGGTAATTCTTCTCTCTGCCTTTAAACATTCCATGAGAGCACTGATCTTGATCCTCAGGAGGATCTAGGGAGAGAAGTACAGAAAGTGTCTGCATGAACCTGCCCCATACTAAGCTGCTTGGTTCTGCCAGGTGAGGGCCACTCTCATCTGACTGTCACACACCTGGGTTCTAGCTACACCCTCTCCTTTCTCTTGGTATTCAAGTAAATCAAAGTTTCAGAAACACTGTTTCTCCTGCAGATTCTGGGAGAAAGGTGAGATTATTTTTTTAACTTTTATTTTAGGATCAGGGGTACATATTGTGATAAAATTGTGTCATGGGGTTTACTGTACATATAATTTCTTCATCTGGGTACTAAGTGTGGTACCCAATAGTTATTTTTTTGCTCCTATTGCACCTTTCACCCTCCACCCTCAAGTAGGCCCCACTATTTGTTGTTTCCCTCTTGGTGTCCATGAGTTTCATTATTTAGTTCATACTTATAAGTGAGAGTATGCAGTATTTGGTTCTCTGTTCCTGCATTTGTTTGCTAAGAATAATGGCATCAAGCTCCATCCATGTTCGTGCAAAAGACATAATCTCATTCTATTTTAGGACTGCATAGTATTCCATTGTATACATATACCACATTTTCTGTATCCAGTTTGTCCTTAAGGGTAATTTAGGTTCATTACGTGTCTTTGCTATTGTTCATAGTATTGCAATGAACATTTATGTTCATATGTCTTTATGGCAGAATGATTTCTATTCCTCTGGATAGACACCCAGTGATGGGATTGCTGTGTTGAATGGTAGTTCTGTTAGCTCTTTGAGGAATCACCATACTCCTTTCCACAATGGATGAACTAATTTACATTGTCACCAACAATGTGTAAGTCCTCCCTTTTCTTCACAACCTTGGCAGCATCTGTCCTTTTTTGACTTTTTAATAAGAGCCATTCTGACTGGTGTGAGGTGGTATCTCATTGTGGTTTTGATTTGCATTTCTCTAATGTTCAGTGATGTTGAACTTTTTTTTATATGCTTCTTGGCCACCTGTATGTCTACTTTTGACAAGTGTCTGTTCCTGTTCTTTCCTCACCTTTTTACATTGCTGTTTTAAAGCAAGTCTCACTCTGACACTCAGGCTGGAATAGTGTGGCACCATCTGCAACCTCTGGCTCCTGGGCTCAGGTAATCCTCCCAGCTCAGCCTCCTGAGTAGCTGAGACTACAGGCTCATGTCACTATGCCAGGCTAATTTTTTCTATTTTTAGTAGAGATGGGTTTTTGCCAGGTTGCCCAGCCTTTTCTCAAATTCCTGGGCTCAAGCGATCCACCAGCCTTGGCTGCCCAAAATGCTGGAATTATAGGCATGATCCACTGTGCTGAGCCCTTTACCCGCTTTTTTATGGTTTTTTTTTATTGTAAAGTTGTTGAAGTTTCTTATAGATGCTCAGATATTAGACCTTCTTCAGATACATAGTTTGAAAATATTTTCTCCCATTCTGCAGGCTGTTTACTCAGTTGATAGTTTCCTTTGCTGTGCAGAACTTCTTTAGTTTAATTAGATTGAGTTTGTCAATTTTTACTTTTGTTGTGATTGCCTTTGAAATCTCCATCATAAAATCTTTGCTCATGCCTATGTCCTGCCTGGTATCGCCTAGGTTGTCTTCCAGGATATTTGTAGCTTTGAGTTTTACATTGAAGTCTTTAATCCATTTTGAGTTGATTTTTGTATATGGTATAAAGAAGGGGTCCAGTTTCAATATTCTGCATGTGGCTAGCCAGTTCTTCCAGCACTATGTCTTCAATAGGGAGTCTTTTTTCCATTGTTTGTTTGGTCAGCTTTATTGAAGATCAGATGGTTGCAGGTATGTGGCCTTATTTCTGGGCTTTCCACCCTGTTCCATTGGTTTAGATGTCTGTTTTTATACCCATACCATTCTGTTTTGGTTGCTGTAGCCTTGTAGTATAGTTTGAAGTTGGGAAATGTGAGGCCTCTAGCTTTGTTTGTTTGTTTGTTTGCTTAGAATTGCCTCAGTTATTTGGCTTTTTTTTGGTTCCACGTGAATTTTAAAGTAGTTTTTTGTTTTCCAGTTCTGTGAAGAATGTCATTCCTAGTTTGATAGGAATAGCACTGCATCTTTAAATTTCTTTGGGCAATATGGATGTGGAGAAATAGAAATGCTTTTATGCTGTTGGTGGAAGTGCAAATTAATTTAACCATTGTGTAAGACAGTGTGGCAATTCCTTAAAAATCTAGAACCAGAAATACCATTGGACCCAGCAATCTCATTACACCCAGTGTTGTCTAATGGGATTTACACCATTTACTTGAGCAAGCAGCTGCTCAATATGCCAAGAACATGGACAACTCACCCATTTTCCCAAGTGGGAAAAAATTGTCAGTTATTCTGCTATAAAGACACATGAACATATGTGTTCATTGCAGCAGTATTCACGACAGCAAAGACTTGGAATCAACCCAAATGCCCATCAATGGTAAACTGGATAAAGAAAATGTGACACACATAAATCATGGAGTACTATGTATGCAGCCATTAAAAATGATGAATCCATGTCCCCTGCAGGGACAAACACCACATGTTCTCACTCATAAGTAGGAGCTGAACGATGAAAACACATGGACCACAGGCAGGGACACATCACACACCAGGGCGTGTGAGGGGCTAAAAGGCAAGGGGAGGGATAGCATAAGGAGAAATACCTAACATAGATGATGGGTTGATGGGTGCAGCAAAGGCATGAAAATGGCCAACAAACATATAAAAAAAATGCTCAACATCACTAATGATCAGGGAATGTAAATCAAAACCACAGTGCAATACCACCTTACTCCTGCAAGAATGGCCATAATCAAAAAAATCTAAAAAATAATAGATATTGGAGGGGATGAGGTGGAAAGGGAACACTTTTACACTGCTGGTGGGAATGTAAACTAGTACAACCACTATAGAAAACATTGTGGAGATGCCTTAAAGAGCTAAAAATACAACTACAATTTGATCCAGCAATCTCACCACTGGGTATCTACCTGGCAGAAAATAAGTCATTATACAAAAAAAGATACTTGCACGTGCATGTTTGTAGCAGCATAATTCACAACTGCAAATATGTGAAACCATTCTAAACAACCATCAATCAATGAGTGCATAAGAAAACTGCAGTATATCTATATATGACGAAATGCTACTCAGCCATAAAAAGGAATGAGTTAATGGCACTAACAACAACCTGGATGGGATTGGAGACTATTATTCTAAGTAAAGTAACTCAGGAATGCAAAATGAAACATCGTATGTTCTCACTTATAAGTGGGAGCTAAGCTATGAGGATGCAAAGGTGTAAGAATGACGGAGTAGACACTGGGGATTTGTGGAGAAAGGGAGAGGAAGAGGTAAGGGATAATAGACTACAAATTGGGTTAAGTGTATACTGCTTGGGTGATGGGTGCACCCATATCTCACAAATATCCATTAAGAGACCACATATCACATGTGCCCCCAAAACCTATAGAAATAAAGGATTTTTAAAAAGATCAAGAAAAGATCACACTGGAGAATACCATGTAGGAGAAGAGACATCATCATGAACATCTTTGTAAAATACAATTTGCCACATTCTTCAAGGCAAAATTAGAAAAAAAAAAAAAAAACACTGCCCAAAGAAATCTGAGATGACACAAACATATGGAAAAACATTCCATGTTCATGGATAAGAAGAACCAATATTATCAAAAGGGCCACAATTCCCAAAACAATTTTCAGATCTAATGTGATTCATATAAAATTACCAATGACATTCTTCAAAGAGCTATATAAAACTATTTTTTAAAAATTCTCATGGAACAAATACAGCCCTAATGATAAAGGCAATCACGAGCAAAAAAAACCAAACAGAATACATCATGCTATCTGGCTTCAAATTATACTACAAAACAGCATAGTATTGGTAGACACACAGACACATATGGGACAGAGCAGAGACA